ATTCAAAATTCATGAGAGTATAAACTTCAAACCAAAAAATAGAAAAAACACTCTAGAATTGCTGCCATATGTCCTAGTCCTAAACAACAACATTAACATGGAGGATGTGGTACAGTGGGTCCGATGAAGAAGTAGACGATTGCAGATACACCTCTTCTGCCATACGACCAGACCATCTTACAGCGACGTTCATCTGGAAGCACCCTTGGAGGACAGGAGGAGGAACCTCGCCTGCCGGCCTCCGTGCGCCACTACCTCAACTTCATCGACTGCAGCGAAACCAATAGCAGGTGCATGTTTTACCTGCCTGAGGTGTATTTGTCTGTATCATTGTCATTCTAAAGTTCACGATCCAACAATTTCATCTCTTGTTCTGTGTTACACGTCTTGTCACTTGTTTCAATTGTTACTACACCTAGAATATCTCTGTTCCATGAGTTAACGACTAGAATTCCGCATCTAGTGTGAGCTCGTTAACAAGGTACCTCAAAAACCTTGTCAACGTGAATAGGTTTGACTTAATATGACAATGTGCTAGAGTGACCTATAATTTAAAATAGAGGGTACACAACTTAGGTATATCGGAGTTCACAAATTAAAATTGAAGGGCACGATTAAACTTACATACCAATGTAGCTACATATAATCCGCTAATCCATTTTATATTTACCCCAACACCTTCTGCATCTGAGGAGCTAGCACGTTGGGGAACTATGGGAGCAATGGGAGGAGGTGCAAGGAGGACAAGATATAACTAAATGTTTGAAGCAAAATGATCATTTTTTTGGTTCATGAATTCATGTATATAAGATGTACTCCCTCCATTCCAAATAAATGAAAAGATTATTTACTATTGTTCTAATTTAAAACATCTATAAATTCCATTCCATTAGATGTGTTGTTGCTAGCCACTTGGCCAAGGAAGAAATGGATCCCAAGCGCCACCATTGTGAATTTCAAAAATTTGGGGGGTGGCCAAAAGAAAAATCTGAATTTTTATTTTAGACTAATGCTTGGAAGACGATGTGTATTGCTTGGAAAACAAAGAAACAAAAAACATTCAATTCAATATAATTAATTTCTATTAGTTAGAGGCATTACACAATAACTAGCCTATGCGAGAGCACGGGTTGATGGACTAGTGTATTCTAAAAATAAAAGATGCATTTTGATGGCTATAGTATACTGAAAACAAATAAGTGTGAAACTAATAAATTTCTTTTATGACATTGTAGAAAGCCATGATCTTTTTTTACCCACAATATATATAGAAATAGACACTTGCAAACACACGCTCATGCATGCCCTACCCATATGAGCACATCTGACAGCTCATAGAAGTTTAGATGGACGAAGGAAAGTGTGAGCACACATGCCGAGTCTAGAAATTGAACATATAGGTGCTCAAATTCCAATACAAAAATAACAATTGAGCTACGCTCAGTTAGCAGTCATGATTTCTCTCTTCTATCCCCATCCTCCAGTGAGCATAAGTTTGAATCTTACCATGCGATTGGTTTCTTTGTTTCTTACCCAGAGCAGTGCAAACCCCCGCTCGCCAAGCTTACTAGATGCAACAACACTTTGTTTGGATGCCGTTTAGGTGCAGTCAGGCCACAAAGAAAACCTTATTGGTTGCACGCGCCCATCCACTTTCGCCGCCACACACGATCATCCATGCACCGCACAAGCTAGGCTCTAAACAAACAAGAAAAAAAAATACATCCTGGCAAGTAAGCTTGGGGTAGGGGGGTGGGGGGGGAGCATTTTGAACCGTGCGGCGCCATTCTCAATCCCTACTCTAGGAAACCAATCAAGCTGCCGCTGCATTTGGTAAGCCTCTTTGGGATAAACCTAGGAAACCAATCATGCTAGAAGACATAAATATTAAAATTTTGTGGAGAATTTTGGTGCCTAAAATTTATCGGACTTACTTATATTTGCATGCTTTCACTTTATTGTTCATTTTGTTATATCCATACTCTATAATCTCTATCTGGTTAAGATAAACTTATTAATAACTTGAATAACTTATAAGAGAAGAGTTTTTTAATTGATGATATCCATATTATTAGCATTACACTTCCATATAACATCTATCTAAGAAACGCATTTGCAGGGCGATTGCACGGCCGTGTCTAGGTCAATATATACCACATGATTTCAATACGCCAGCTATTGCCGCATCGCAGTTAACAGACGTAAATCATAGGACATTGTGGCTGCAGGAAAAGATGGAGATTCGCATGTGTTGCTGCCTGCATTGGCTCTCTTAACAAATTCGATGTCAATTAATTGTAGCGATCAACCGATCGGTATGGCTAATAACTAGTAAAAGTGATTTAATTAACTGCTAATTAACAATGCCATTTGTCAACTCTGGGAATCAATCAATTTGCTCGGTCGTTCACATGCTGCCTAAACCTAGTTTATTAGGTCGAGATGCTCAGCTGAACTAGCTGTCGTATTTTTCTGAATCGCAGTGAGCTGGGTTCTAGCTAGGACCAGGCTATGCGGGATGCTACAGGTTTATCGTTTTTATTAGGGTGATGCTAAGTTTAACCTCATCTTTTTAATCCTCAGTACAAAGGTTCCAGCCAACCATGAGCTGAATACTGCCTTCAATGAAGATTATCGTTGCAACCCAATTAACAAATGACCATGAGTACATGACTGAGACAAACTTAGTGCGTGGATGAGCTAGGACATACTAATCGTAAGCCGTCTAAATTAGCTAGGCCCCATTTGTGCCATTTGTGTGGTAAAAGTCTATTTTATCCTTGGTGTATGCACGTCTAAGATGTGTAGTAAGTGGAGGCCATTTTGGTATTTTCTCAATCCATTAGATACTTTTGTTCCTCTCAATCAGCTAACAATAAGCTAAAACAACTAGCTGTGTGGTTGGCAAACCATAAATCAATTTTTAACGGTGCTGCTAACAATTGGACTCATTGTATCCAATCAGCCTCTCGACCCCAATCATGTACCTGTACTACTTGATATACAATCAAAGACAACTGGCATAAATCATAAGACGGTGTCGAATGAAAGATTGAGAGGAGTCATCTGGTCACTGCCGGCATCGGCTCTCTTTACAAATTTAAGGTCAACTTTGCAACCAACTGATCGGTATGGCTAATTATAAGTAGCTTAATTAACTGCTTGCAGTAGTTTTTGTCAACTCTAGCTAGAAATCAATCATATGCTGTAGTGCGTGCTGCTACCAGGCTTAACGTTGTCATTAGGGTGATGCCAACCTCGGATCTATTTACTCTTCCGCAAAAGAAGTTCATCAGAAGGTGGGTGGAGGCCAAAGATAAATTGGGACATGAGAATACTTTGAAACCAAAAATATATTCAGACTGTGGGACATATTATCTCGAGGCTTCCAAATATTTCAGAAAAAAAGTCATAAAGAAAATAAAATGGGATATAAGGAACTAAATAGAATGGAGCTCGTTAAAAAGTTTCTAGGAGCTTCCAACAAATTTAGTTTGCTCTAAGAACAAAATCAAAAAGAAGTTTAGAAAAGTACAAATTTTCTATAAATGTACACTAAACTTGCAATTGCATTTTATAAGATTTCCACACTTATAAGAACCATATGCAAATGGAATGAATGCAATCAATCAATGTTATATAGTTATATACAGTGTTATATATATCTATAAAAGTTATGTTAAATTGAATTTAAAATTTTAGAATTGTTTTCTCCAATTAAATTACTCCCTCCGTCCTAAAAATGAGTGTCGTTCTTGCTTCCCAAGAAATAAAGCGCTTTTAACTTTGACTAAAAATACACAAAAATATTAAAATATATAGTACATAATTAGTATCCTTAGATAGATCATTGAATTTATTTTTATATTAAACTTAATTGGGTTGCTAATATTTTCTATAAATCTAGTTAAACTTGAAAAAGTTTGACCGGAATAAATACCATAGCGACACTTATTTTGGGACGGAGCGAGTATATTGTAAATAATTCATTTTGAAAGTTTTTAAATATTTTAGAATTGTGGATTAGTGTGTTACCTACTTCCATGAGACAAGCAAGGTGAATAGCGAAAATTTTATATCCACAAGCTGTTTGTGTAAGTTTATAACATTAGAAGTTTATACATGTATGTTTGTGTGCAATGTATTTCTAATAAAAAGTTGTGCTAAAAATTTTGTTCCGAGGAAAAAAGGATAGTGAAAATATTGTGCTAAAAATGCCCTGGTGAGTAATTTCCATGATAGGAAGTTGGACAATAACAAATTTTATTGAAAAAGTTATGCTGAGATAGTTGTCACAATAAACTTGTCTAACAAAATTATGCTAAGAAAATTACAACCTTTTTGCTTATGAGGCGCACCATATTTAAAGGTTCATCAGACACAGTTATCTTCAACCAAAAATAACTTTACAAGATATAGATTTTGTTATAGAAAAGTGAACCACTGGATTTGTATTCAATTGTAATGCTTATGGTTATGATTTTGTTGATACAAACATTTAGCTCCCTTTGGAACACAGGAATTTCACAGGAGTTGTACATGAATTTCACATAAATCAGTTTATTTCACAGGAAAAACATAGGAAACAGGAAAGTTTCCGTCATTCTAAAGGGGCCTTAGCATAAGATAAATTATGTGCATGATTTCAAAAATGACAAGTTTTAGAAACTGTTTTATCCAAAAAGGTAAAGTGGCTGACTGGTCTGAAATTGACCTCTGATTACTGTCCTAGCGTGCGTGTTAAAAAAAGTAGTCTGACATGTGAAGTGTATAAAATATACTCTTATACCCCAAAGATAGATTCCGATGCACCTTGAAGAACTTTCTCACGTGAAGTGTATAAAAAAAATACTCTAACAACCCCAAATACGCCTAAGCCAGGCTTTTGGAGACGTCTCCATGCATGTGCTCTCAACCTTTTTAAAACGCTGGGACCCTCGCTCAGCCTCCTCAACTCTCATATCCCGTCTGCCTCCGTGAATATGCACTGTACGGGCTCAATGGCAGCGACGCGAGCGTACTTGGTAGCGTTCGTGGTGGCTCTCGCGTTTCTCTTCTTGGAGGGTGCGGCGGCGGCGGCAGCGGCGGCAGCGGTGGCGGCAGAGACTTCCGGGACGTCGGTGCAGCGGCGGCAGCAGGTGCATAGTCTCCTTCGGCGGCTCAACAAGCCTCATCTCGCAAGCTTTGAGGTACATATATATGTTGACACAATTGCTTGGCTCCTCTAGTCTCCTTGTCAAAGATTTTGGTTTATGATTTTGTTTGCGTCGGAGCGAAATCACGTCGATTGTATGATCGGTGACCTACTTCTCTGATGCATTAGAGACAGAGATAGAATCGTAAAAATATAATAAGGTCTGTTTAGTAGAGCTTTAGGTCTAGCATAGAGCTCTAGGTGTGGCTTCTGGTAAAGCAGCTTTTTTTACTCTAGTTTTAGTTAGAAAAATATTTGGTCAAACAACTCTTATGGTTGTTGAAAATGGTGAAACATCAACTCTTCAATTTCTTTTTTCTTTTTCTTTATTTTTTCTTCCGAATTTCTCTACTCTCTCCACCCTATCCATGCTGGCCTCCTCCGCCCCGCCTTGCACCAGCCCGGAGGGGCCTCCCATGCCAGCCACTCCGTTCCTCCCTGTGCCGGCCCGGGGTAAATCGGACAACGGCCACGTGCTGGGCCCATGGAAGCAAGAGGGATTGGGTGAAGCTTCTTTTTTCAGCTTGCTCCCACATCCAACTCCAATCACCAAGATTCAGGAAGTTTTCTTAATGTAACCATTTTAGCTTTGAGTGTTTGGTTGGAGAGCTGATTGGAGTTGTTGGAGAAGCTCCAGCACATCAGACGGAGCCTAAGTTTAGATCTAATATATTTTACTCTAAGTAGGATGAGTCTTACTAGAACATGTACAAATTGTTCTAACTACGCAATCAACATAGCCCATAGCCTAAGTGCTTGACCTCCTCAGGCAGCTTAACAAGGCTCCTCTTGCAAGCGCTGAGGTACATATAGAGGGGACCATTATATATAGAGGGGAGAAGGCCAACCGCTTCTATCATTTGCTATTTTACATACAATCTTCTCTGTTTTAATTTCTACCTGGTTGCGACCACTGATTTTGAGAAATTAACAGAGCCCAGATGGAGATATCATAGACTGTGTAGACATCTACAAACAACCTGCATTTGATGATCCTCTCCTCGAGAACCATACTATCCAGGTTCCTCTCTCTGCAGGAGCATTTTCCTTTTCGTTTCAATGTTCGGTGCAGCCTAGTTGCAGTGCCTCCCGCCAACACATACATATGTGCATGTATCATGACATCACTCAACGGTGCTCCTTTGTCACCTTTCAGATGCGGCCTTCTGACCACCCTAAAGGCTTGCATGATGACTCCAAAGTTTTGGCCCGTCCAATCACCCAAACATGGCATCAGAATGGCAAGTGCCCTGAGAACACCATACCAATTCGAAGGATCAAGGAGGAGGATGTCCTGAGGGCCAGTTCCATTGGGAGATATGGCAAGAAGATGCCCAGGAGCATCCCAAAACTCATTTCTGTCGATGACCCTGTCAAGCCTGGTGTGACGAGTGGCCACAAGGTACAAAATGTCATTCATGAATCACCTTCACATCAGTACTAATCATTTATTGTTATTAGTGTTTATGAAATTTCTCATTTAATTTGACTCTTGCTCTCTCATTGAGAAGTATGCCATAGCTGCAGCACCGGAGGATAAGTACTATGGAACCAAAACCAACTTCAATTTGTGGCAACCAACAATTTCGAAGAACAAGGACTTCAGTTTGGCCCAACTCTGGATTAGTAAGGGGTCCTATAGCAACAACGACCTCAATACCATTGAAGTAGGATGGCAGGTAAGACCTCAAGGAGAAACATTATTAAACCCATCTTCATAAAAGGTTCTATTAAAAGCTGTCTTTCATCCTCCATGATTATGTGCTTTTGAAAGAGCTAGAGCTTGAGTAGGATCATGAGTAGGTAATGATTCATGCAAACCTTTTTCTTTCATGAGTTGTGCTAACAGCATGAATTTTTTTAGAAGATCGTGTCCTTATACGTGTCTAGGTTGTCCTCACAAATGTGTTACAAAAATAGATCAATCCTAAAAGTTCCAAAAGAAATAGCAAAACACATCCAACTATCGATTCGGTAGACACAATTATTATTTTGAAACAATAGCAAATGGATCTAATTTGCACAACCGCCCATAGTACCTTTTGCTGTGGTGACACTTTATCTAGATAGTCTCACGCAGATAAAGGAAAAAAAAACTGTCTACAGGACCTAGATAATATAATGATGAGTAGTGTTGTTGTTTGCTTCACCAAAGGACAACCGTACCTCAAAATCTCTCGTGCCTCACTTCCACCTATAATAAATAAATCTTAGGTTGCAAAGCTTAGATAGCTAAGATCACAGTATAATATGATCCTAATGCCTATGGACTACTTTGAACAACATCGTGGTTGCTCTAAGGAGCATCCTACGTGGTTGCACTAAGGAGCATCCTACTATACTTGCTCTCTTTCATTGTGGCTAATGGTCATGTGCTCTCTACGAAATTGCAGGTTTATCCGGAGCTCTATAGGGATAGCAATACTAGAATATTCATCTACTGGACTGTAAGAAAAACACAATATCCCTGTTTTTTCTTTAATTAGTACTAATAGAGGTCCTTTTTATTAAGCTAGGGAATGGCATAAAGAGATACTAATTTTCTGTAGTTATGGAATATTGTAGCGTGATGGATACCAAAGAACAGGATGTTACAACCTAAACTGCCCCGGGTTCATCCAGACAAACAATCAGTTTGCAATCGGTGGCAGCATCTCCCCTGTCTCCAGTTATGGTGGCTCACAATTTGACATCGATATTTTAATCTGGAAGGTAAAATACAAAAACCTTTCACATTGCAAACATGCAAAATCAAAATTGTGAATGGGCATAGAGAATCTATGCTAGCAGCTTCATATCCTTTCTTAATCTGCCTTCGGCCTTAAGCCCAGGCTATCAATGGTCGCTCTAGCTTATTAGGATCGTCGTGTTACCTGTGCCTGTTTCATATTTGTTCGCAAATAGTACAACACTATTGAGTTAGCCTTTTGAGCAAGGGCTCTTCTAACATACTCCTTATTTTTAACCTTAGGAGATTAAATTATAGTTTACATTGACTCTGTAAGTTATTTTTTTTTAACTTTGAAAAAGTTTAAAATCACTGGCAACTAGAAAATCATATTAATTTCATTATATTATACATGAAATATGTTTTAATAGAGCATTTATTTGAAGTTATGGATGTTTGCGCTTCCACTCCCATCGAAGAGCGATATACTCTGACTTTTGTGCATGCATGATTTTAGCACTCAAAGGACTTATAAATATATTGCCTTATCATAAACCTAGCTATTTTCTGAATTTTCCCGTAAATTGAGGGTTGCAGGACCCCAAGGGGGGCAATTGGTGGTTGCAAGTGGGAAGCTATGTTGTGGGCTATTGGCCATCATCCATATTCTCCTACTTGGCAGACAGTGCCTCCTCTGTCCTGTGGGGCGGCGAGGTGTACTCACCTAACCCTGTCCAAACTTCCACACAGATGGGTAGTGGACACTTCCCTGAGGAAGGCTTCGGCAAGGCCAGTTATATTAGGAACATCCAAGTGGTGGGTTCGTCCAACATTCTCAAATCACCAGACAATGTGGACTTGCTAAGTTCACAACAAGGATGCTATAATGTACAGAATGGTACTAATAGGAACTGGGGCACTTACATCTACTATGGAGGACCCGGAAAGAACCCTAACTGCGTTGGTTAAAATTGAATTATTCTTTTAGAGCCCAAACATCTCCTTGAAGAGTGAATAGTAAATAGATACATGTGACTGTATTCATTTGTAGAGCATACAAATACAAAAAGAAAATCTTGGTAGCAAACCATTTTTTGTTTCACCATTGGACAAATTGTTTTTTTTTTGGAAAAAGGCCATTTGTCAATTTTTCTTGCCAGCTGGAGCGTGCTGTTTCATTCACTGATTTAACATATTCTTTCTTCTGTAGGACAATATCTCTTTCAAACTAGAACGTTTGTCCTTTATTTATGGAATAATCTTTATTTCAAACTAGATTATTTTCCCCTACCCCATCAAACAATTTGTCTTCCTGTTCCTAGTTTGGAAGAAAAGATATATAATATATTCAATGAAAAACAAAAGGTAAATGTTCCACCCAAAGAAAGAAAATGTTGGGTCTCACTCTCATTTTTGAGAAATTTCCTATTTGACACCAGAAAAAGTACAACTTCCTTATTTGACACTCAAACTCAAATTCTTTCCTATTTGTCCCCGTCTCAAGTTTTTCTTTCTTATTTGCTAAACTAACAAATCAGCTCAGATAGTCCTATTTTATTGTTATGTATTATGTACCTAAATGATTGATATTGAACTCAACATAATTATACGTAATCACAAGATTATGCTCCTTCCTTTATTTTACAGAAGCAATTGAAAAATGAAAACATAACCGTTGAAAGTAAAACGTCCAAACGAGATAGCAATAACCAGCATGTTAATAACTGGGAAGAAAAACAACAGTGGTAAAGGTCTTTTCCTCTAGGACTCAACACCGTTATAAGTCCAAACTAACGAAAGTGTCGAATAGGAAAGAAAAACTTGAGACGGGGATAGATAGGAAAGAAATTGTGTTTGGGTGCCAAATAAGAAAACGGCACTTTTTCTGGTGTCAAAAATTTTTCTCCTCGTCAAAAGGAAATGTTAGCTCGCCCAGGCTCAGCACAACGCTTTCATAGCTGAGATATTTTCTAGTTGGGCCACTGGGCTAATCGATGCTCTCGGTAAGAGGCCATACGCCTGCGAGGCCCAGCAAGGCCTGCTTGATGACAGATGACATGAAAAGGCGAATTGGGCCGGTTTCGTTGAATTTGGGCCTTTTAGTGATAGCATCGATTTTGGCATCCGGCCCGCATCCAGTTTGCTTACCTGAGAGCCTTAGTTGCTTGGCCTGATCAATCACTTTTGAGCGGTGATGACAAGGAACAGCTAGCTGAGCATGTTTTTCTTCATCTCTGAATCTGCAGCAAGTTCCGAAGCTTATTCAGTCGGTCACCACGATCGGTCATGTTCAGTCTCAAACTCAACTTGAACCACGAACGCCACTGGACAATGGATTTCTCTGTACCGTAGTCTTTTCAGTAATGCTCAAGAGCGTACGTCCGCACAGCGTTTTCCAGGCCTGCACGCTACTACAGGAAAGCGCCTCTTTGCCGACTACTTGCCCCGGTCGGCAAAGGCATAAACCCAGTCGGCAAAGGCTTTGCCGACCGCAAAGCCACGTGGCAGTCGGCAAAGAGCAATCGGCAAAGCCTGGGTCGGCAAAGGCGGATTTGCCGATCGCCACGCGTCAGCACACAATCGGCAAATCCTTTGCCAACCGCCACGCCAATGATCGGCATAGTTACGTGGCGCCGTCGATACGACGGCGGGCTTTTGCCGATCTTTGGTTCCTCGACAATTCGGCAAAGAATTATTTTTCAAAAAATTGTTTGCCGGCCGCGCCGCTTCGGCAATCGGCAAAGAAAGAAATTTTTTGAAATGTTCTTTTGCCGATCGCTTTGAGTTGCAATCGGCAAAGATTCTTCTGAGTTTTTGCCCAGCTTTGCCGATGTAAACGAAATTGGAATTTTTTTCTTTTGCCGAACGCTTTGAGTTGCGATCGGCAAAGATTCTTCACAGGTTTTTGCCCGACTTTTGCCGATCGTAAGCAATCGGCAAAGCTGGATTTTTTTTTTGCTTTTGTTTTCTATTTTCTCGCATCAAACCCCCGCAAAATCACAAATTATAATCCAATTTCACCGTAAGCACACCGGTAGCACCATTTATATCACAATTTCATCACATTTGTCGCCAACATCACCACATATATCACAATAACGCACAACATCACATATATGTCACAATAACAACCACACAAGTGCATTACAACCATCACATGAAGTCCAACACGCCGAACACCACAAGTCGGCGTCCATCACACCTAAGTTCAACATAACAAGTCTAGGTCCATAACGAAGAAAAGAAATACATGACAACAACTTCGACGACACGGTGGATACATGATAACAGAATCGACAAGTACCTAGCTCGTCAGCGCCGTCCCGGTCTCGTCGTCCGCTCCGCCCCAGAGCCCCTGTGGTTTGCCACGGAAACCCCTTGGACCAAATCGAGGCGCCGCACATCGCCACCCTCCGCGCACCGGGCGCCACGAGTATCGTCGGAGGAGGGCCACGGAGAGGTGGATACGGTGGATAGGGTGCGGTGGTGGATACGACATCATCGATGGTGGGACCTCCGAGAGACGGGTTCGAACCGCCGATCGCATACTCGCACAAGTTAAACGCCAAGTGATGTCATTAGTATCTCGCAAGCATGGACGCACAAGTTAAAGCAAGAGTCAATATACTCACCGGGGTCCCTCCGGGGAGCGCGGCGGAGCGTGCGCGGGGAAAAAACTCGGAGGAGGAGGCGGTGGAGCGAACATTGGAAGAGGAGGCGGTGTAGACGCCCGGCGTCTCGCATGGACCGGAAGAAGGCGCCATGTCTCGCATATGAGTGTTGTAGTCTTCTGCTGCGGAGCTTTCTTTGGTAAGCCATCCGTTTGCGCCATCATCTGCTGGCGTGCAACGTGGCGATCCTCTCCTCCATCTTGGCCTCCATCTGGCCGCAATATTACATCCGCAGTGTTGATTGTATGTCTGGTGCGAAACGAGTGAACGACGAACGCAAACGGCACTTACCGTGACGCCGCCGCCGCCGGGCGCTTACGGGATGTCGCTGGAGCTCGTGGGCGTGGATCGAAACTGGGTCGGGCGTGGGAACACAGGGACGGGTCGAGGGCAGCTGTGGGCCATGTAGTAGCGCGTGCCGTCTTTGCTTCTGGTCCCAACCTCTGCAGGAGGTCTCGTGTCCGGGGCTCGGCGGTGGGTCGAACGTCTCCCGTGGTATTTGGGGCGAGCCGCGACGGTGTACTCGGTGGCCTTCTCGTAGGCGGTGGGGTTGGTGTACGCGGGCCCGTCCTCCGGGTTGTAGACGTTGTTCGGATCCGCCGCCTTGCCCTTGTGAGAGAGGAGGTACGCGGTGTACTCGTTGATTTCACGCCCACCGTGCGTCTGCAAGGCTCGCATTGAAAACACAAACATGGTTACAAGTATTGACAATTGAGCGCAAGGACTAAGACATGAACGGACGCATACCCATCTTGTCGCGAATCAGGGGAGGGGCTGATTCCTTGGTGGTGTGACACCTCGTGATTCATCTGCTGTGGCTGGCCGACGGTCGGCGCGCGCCTGCAGACGCTTTCATCCCGGCGCCACATGCGCACAATCTCCGCCCAAACATTCCTCGTGGTTGTCGCGACCACGACGGACACACACGCATGACATCAAGTATTTGACATGCGAGAAGATTAGTGTAATGTTTCTTTGAAGGAATCGAACGAATGTTGTCATACTTAATTACACCTTTCGTATTGCGCTTTGGTGAGGTCGGCCTCCCTCGAGTTCATTCTCCTGGCGGATTTGGGGCTTCTTGATGTTCTCTCCAAGCACGTTGGCGTGGAAGTCGCGGATGGCACATGTATCGTGCCTCATGGTACAGTCCTTGAGGCGATCTTTGCAGACCGCCTCTGCACTCTCGCGCCACCGGGCCGCTTTACCCTCCTCGTGACGTGAAGAAGTCACGCATTACAGACACATCATGTAGCATTTCCTTTTTGCAAGAAGTCCGATTAATGCGTACTATTTAGCAATGCGGTGCGATGAAAGACTCACCCAAAACTCCCTCTTTATCTTTTGTCGCGATGGTCTCGCCACCCTCCTCGACGAGGTAGAAGTGGGACCACTTGGTGGGCACCTTCATCTCGCCGTTGACGCGTTGACAAGGCCCGGTAGTACTCTTAATCGGGGAGGCCCGGATGCCATTGATATGGCGTGCTTGACCTGCTCCACTCACAATCTTCCGAACTGCACGAGTCATTAAGAACAATTGTTAGTCTTGATTCGATTTTTGACATGTCATATGAACAAGTAGTGAAATCAATAATGGTTACTTACGCCCGCCCACGGGTGTGATCACCGGGTATTTGGTGGAATTATGCGCCGCAGCCCTAGGAAAGCTGCAGGCCCCGCGACGAGTACCTTTGGCCACGCCGACGAAGTCGGCCGTCTCGCCGGTGTGTAAGTAGCGTCGTCGCCGTCGTCGTCGCTATCGTCGTCGTCGTCATGCCGTCGCCGCCGCCTTTGTTCACGCTGTGACGCCGTCTCCCCTTGCGAGGACGAGAACAAATGCCCTCCTGGTCGCGCTGGCGACGTCGGCTGGGGCTGGGACCCCCTCTTGGGACGACCCGCGCACCAACACCTCCTCCTCCTCATCGCCGTCGGCGGTCTCTCGAAGGGGGACTCGAAACGCCGAAAGCGTCTTTGCTCGATCGACGCTGCCGCCGTCCGCTGGCATTTTGTCGAGTGCCCGCAATGACAAAGAACAAAAGCTGTTAGCATAAATAAATGACAAGTACTTGTAAAGGAACATAATAATAACAATATAGTATTACATGGCCTCGTAATTATCTCCATGAACGGCAATATCTCAGGCGTGGAGTCGTCATCTCTATCACTATCGTTGTCATCGCTATCAATATTGTCGAGCTCCCTTAAGTCATCACCATCATCATCATCCTCATCGTCTCCATAGTCATCATCATGTACCTCCTCTGGACAACTCCATCGGCACGTGATCTCGCCATCGCT